AGCCTGTCCTGAGGGAGACCCAACCCCTTGTATCCCATATAGAGCACCCAGGGGTGGGAACAGCCTCCTGGGAATGGGGAACCAGCCCAAACTCCAGCACAAAGCTCCCAAAGCCCCCAGACTCCCGGTTCCTTCCCGGTTCTTCTGCATGGCCAGTCTGGCTCTCAATGGGGGTTGAAGCCCCCTTGCCCCTATCCCTGCACCCACAGCAAGACCAGTCCATCAGAGGGGGCTCTGTTGGGGTCACCTCTGCTCGGGAGGCCACCCACACTTGTGACGAGCGCGTTCGTCCCCAGGCGCCTGCACTGCACGCGCAACTACATCCACATCCACCTCTTCACCTCCTTCATCTGCCGGGCGGCCAGCATCTTCGTGAAGGACATGGTGCTCTACTCGGGGGCGCTGGCCAGCGAGCCAGAGAAGATGCCGGAGGACGATTTAAAAACCGAGATGGGGCCCCTGCCAGGACCACGGAGCCACCTGGCAAGTGACACGTAGAGACCGGGGAGCAGGAGCAGAGCGGGACATTTTCCCGCTGGCTTCCAGGAGCCACCTGGACATGGGCCGCGCTCTGAGCACGTTTATTCCACACCACAGGTTGGCTGCAAGGTGGTGGTGACACTTTTCCTCTATTTTCTGGCCACCAACCACTACTGGATCCTGGTGGAAGGGCTCTACCTGCACAGCCTCATCTTCATGGCCTTCCTCTCCAATGACAACTACCTGTGGGTCCTCATCATCATCGGCTGGGGTAAGCACAGGCCCCAGCTGCTGGGGGGCATCGCTGCGGTCCAGCAGCACCGAGGACACTGGTGAGGGGTGTGGGACACAAACTGGGTCCTGGGAATCGGGGTGCCCATCAAGCCTGGTTGCTTCGGCCGTGCTCCTCCCGCGTCTCTCRCTCCTCCAGGTCTCCCTGCTGTGTTCGTGTCTGTCTGGGCCAGCGTCAGGGCCTCCCTGGCGGATACACAGTACGTAGGTCCTCCTTCTCCAGCAGTTCCTAAGGAGGGGGGAAAAACTGGCTGCAAATATGAGGGGGGAAAAAAAAAGAACAACCGGGCTATGAAAAWTAGATTTGTTTTTAAAAAGCTACCAAAAGACAACAAATACAYGAGCTTGTTTGCAAAATTGCCAGTAATCGAATCCAATGATATTTTTGTTCAGCACTTGGGAGGAAGCAGGATGCAGGTTTGCACCATTAAATAGTCAGGAAATGCTGCAAAGATTATGTGAAATGGCATATTTTAACGTAGAGTGTTTTAAAATGAGAAGGGCCACACAGCTTCCAGCATCTGGGATCCTGGAAACAGGGACGGGAAGGGAGGGAGGATGCGACAGCCTGGCAGGGGAGGGAGGCAGCAGCTCCTGGGAGTTCTCCTTACCTTGAGTTTTTCCCAGATGTTTCTTACTGCTCTTCCCAGATGCTGGGACCTCAGTGCTGGGAACATGAAGTGGATTTATCAGGTTCCCATCCTGGCTGCCGTTGTGGTAAGAAGCCCTTGGCTGAATTTCCAACATGCCCAGGAAATCTATCCCGGGGGCTGTGCGCTGAGACCACGGGCGCTCTGCCGGCAGGTCAACTTCTTCCTTTTCCTCAACATCGTGCGGGTGCTGGCGTCGAAGCTCTGGGAGACGAACACGGGGAAGCTGGACTCCCGGCAGCAGTACCGGTGAGTCCTGCCCGTCCCGCTCAGACGGGGGCTCGGGAAGCAGCAGAGTCCCGGGCGGCTGTGGGGTCCGGTGACCAACACCTTCCCGGTGCCTCCTCCGAGCCAGGCCCTCGCTGTGCAGCAATTCGCTCTTCCCAGGATTTGGTCCGGGGGGAAGMTGCCCCTTTGCTGAATGGCACCTGCGAGGGGCAGGTCCCGCCTGAGCAGGGCTGTGTTTTCTGCTTGCAGGAAGCTGCTCAAGTCCACGCTGGTGCTCATGCCGCTTTTTGGGGTGCATTACGTGGTGTTCATGGCCATGCCCTACACTGATGTCTCTGGCGTCCTGTGGCAGATTCAGATGCATTATGAGATGCTCTTCAACTCCTTCCAGGTGGGTCGGTGGGGGCTGCTCAGTGCCGGTGCTGGGCACTCCCCATCCGAGCAGGCGTGTTTCAACATCACGCGCTCGGTGCTAAACTCGGCATCTCTCCTTTGGCAGGGCTTCTTTGTGGCTTTTATCTACTGCTTTTGTAACGGGGAGGTAAGTTGGGAGGCTCTGTCCTGCAAGGGGGCTGAGCCTTCGTCCACGTCACAAAATCCCAACAAGCTTTGGGGAGAAATAGGAGTGAAACCCATTGGGGTCCACGTCTCGGCCGGCTCAGGACTCCGTCTGCTCTCTCGCTCAGGTGCAGGCGGAGATCAGAAAAGCCCGTTTCCGCCGGAGCCTGGCGCTGGACTTCAAGCAGAAAGCGCGGGCCACGAGCACAGTGGGCAGCTGCTACTGCAGCGGGCCGCTGTCCCAGGCCACCGCGAGCRTCAGCGCGAGCGCGGCGGGACGGGGGGCAGCGAGCGCGGCGGGACGCGGGCTCTTGCCCCTCGCCCGCACCGGCCTCCCCAGCTACGGAGCCGCCGCCTTCCCGCCCCACGAACCGAGCCAGGAAGGCTGTGGGGAGAAGCGGGCAGAATCAGGGCTGCAGCGGAGCCTGCCTGGCCTGGCCAAAGAGCTGGAGACGATGCTGTGAGGTGGGCGGCACAGAGCCCCGCAGCGCCTGGAAGCCCCGGGGCCCCTCGCTGAAGAAGGGAGAGCAGCTTAGCGGCCGCTGGTCCTTTGGTCCTGGTCGTGCTGGGCCCGCCAGCGTGCAGAGGGACCGCGCGCTCGTGCTCTGCCTTGAAGCTCCCTGGCCAAACTCAAAGAGCAGCCAGCTGGAAATGTCTCCGTCGCTGTGCAGGTGGTTGGCGCGAGCAATGTCTGTGCATGCAGCGCTTGCAGATGGGCCCCTTGGAGCCTTCCTCCGGCTCGTGCACATCCTCGCACGCGGCGCAGATGCTGCGAGGCCGGGCCTGGGGCGGCTGAGGGACACCGAGCTCTGGGGCGGTGGCCACAGCCCTCGTGTTTCCCAGCACAATTAGCCTGGAGCCAGCAGACCACGGCCCCAGGCTCCAGCGTTAATAAAAGCTGCTCTGTTCAGCGTGCTCCTGGCCTCACACTCCATTAGGGCCACGATTGTGGTGGGATCAGTTACGGGAAGACCGCGGAGGGCGGATCACGTGGGAAAGAAGGAAGCTTGGAACAGGCTGCCCAGGGAGGCTGCGGAGWCTCCTTCTCTGGAGGTCTCCAAACCCGCCTGGATGCCGCCCTGTGCTCTGGCTGTCCCTCCTGGAGCAGGGGGTTGGACTGGATGATCCCTAGAGGTCCCTTCCAACCTCAACTATTCTGGGATTCCTCTCCCTGTTGGGCACAAGGGGTAGGTCTAAGGCCTCCAAGCGAGTCCCTGTGTCCACCCCAGCTGGGGAAGGACRTTGCTGCAGCACTTGCAGCACCAGACCCAGCTGTCACAGCACTTGGTGGCACAGCCTTCCCAAGGGAGGCCAGAGCTGCCACAGCTTGCGGGGAAGACACATCCCTATCGGTTCAAATTACACGTCTTGCCAAAGGAGAATTTTTCTTTCCTACTTCCTTTGGCAAGACGTGTGTCCTCCAAGCAAAACTTTTACCACAAAAGATGGAGAATAGGGAAGTAATTCCCTGTCTCCAACCTCCCAGCACCTTGCGGGGACTAAACCCAGGCACAAGGAGCAGAAAACGCTGCAAGAGCRGGAGAAGCAGCAGCGCAGGCACCCGGACTCACAGTCACCAAATACTCCAGCAGCCGGTGCGGGGTTGGGAGCGTCCTCGTCACCTCCAATGGAGCTGGAAAGGGCTCCGTGCCGGGAACGCAGCCGGGYTGGTCACCAGCTATGAGCAGGAGGTGAGAGGTGGACACGGATGCAGAGACACAGAGGCGGGAGCGCTGGATCAGGCTCCACAACCCCCTGAGCTGCCCCAGCGAGGGGCTCGGCCCTCGTGCTCCGGCTCCCGGGAAGGCAGCAGAGCGACGGCTCCCGGGGCCACGGGGCCGGGCCCGGCGCCGACACTGCCGCTTTGTTCGGCCCAGAGGGGCTCCAGCCCCTCGCGTCCCTCACGCGGGGCTGCGAATTCCCATTTATAGCTCCCTGTCACTGCTCACTATTTACTCACTCACAGCCCGGAGGCTCCAGGGAGCTGGGAGAGGGATGAGGAATTTCAATAGTTCTACCTAAAGCAACAAAGGGACGTGCTAGGAAGGAGGAAGGGCAGGCACGTGCGGGACCGGCTGCTGGTGGCCAAGAGGCAGAAAGGGAAGGAGCAGGCGGCAGCTTTGGACGAAGGAGCTGTTTTGGAGGGAGGGATCAAACTCCAAAATCTTTAACTGGGCAGCACCATAAACCTTCAGCGTGATAAGGAAAGGAAATTCAATGGCTGCTCCTAAATCCCACATCTGTCCGGGAAAAACGGGTCACCTTCTCCCAACGTTAAATAGGCCGAGTTCTGCGCACACCTAGAACGTGGCTGAGCGAGAGCAGAGAGCTCCAAGCAGCACAAAGAGGTTTCTGACCAGAGTGCGATTTGATAATTCAGCTGAAACCTCTTTTAGGGACAGACAGGAATATCTAGGCAAATCTCCATGAAAATGCCAAAGCAGCCAGAGGAAGGAGCAGAGAATAAAGAGCACATGTTAGAAATGTTGTCCCAGTAATAAAACATTTACTAGAGCAAGCAGAAAGTAAATGCACAGCTGATAAAGAAAACATCACAATGCCACAAAAACCTGACAGTTTCTGAAACTTTTCTTGGTAGAAACAAGACAGAAGTGGGTGCTGGCGTGTTTCAACAA